CCGACGCGTGCTCCAAACGTGGTCGAAGTGCGTATCTTCACGCAAACGCAAACGAATGCTAGAGCAATAAAAAGGAAATAATGCATGCTCATCTTCATCACCACCACCATCATCATCATCATCATCATCATCATCATCATCATCATCATCATCATCATCATCATCATCATCATCATCATCATCATCACGATCATCACGATCATCATCATCATCAAGATCTCCCGTGTGCGGACGGGGGTCCTCGTGGTCCAGGTGTTCGTGCTGACCCCCATGATGGGATTTCCGAGCAGGCCCGCTGTCGAGACGCCCCAAACGGCCTCCAAAAAGCTCCCAAGAGGCCCGAAGAGGCTCTCCCAAGGCACCCAAGACGCTCCTAGAAGCCCCTGGGGCCGCCAAGAGGCCCCCAAGACGCCCCAAAAGGCCTCCAAGAGGCTCCCAAAAGACATCCCAAGAGACTCCGCGATGCATCCAAGAGGCCTCTGGCCCTTCTGCTCGTCCTCCCCTCCTCGTCCGCCTCCCCCTTTTCCTCCCCCCTCCTCCCCTCCCCCACCTCCTCCTCCGATTCCTCCTCCATCCTCCCCTCTTGGGATATGGCGGCATCCCCTGTCCTTCGTTTCTCTGTATGCTCCCACACTTCCCTGATCGAATCAAAGCAACTCCTCTGGGCATAATTGACAAACAAATCCCGACAGTCGGTACTCTTTGCTAAAGTGGCTGTTTTAGGATGGGCTGGTGGGGATTCGCGAAGCGTGAACAATTCGAGTGCATCTACCAACACACTACAACACATTACAACTACCACTACACTACAAGTACGAGCACCACCACTACAAACGTCACAACTGTCACTACCACTACCACAAGCATTGCCACCAACACACTACAACCATCACAACTGTCACTACCACTACCACAAGCATTGCCACCAACACACTACAACCATCACAACTGTCACTATCACTACCACTGCACTACAAGAACGAGCACCACCACTACAACCATCACAACTGTCACTACCACTACCACAAGCATTGCCACCAACACACTACAACCATCAGGAAGGCCGCGCGGTCTGCAACCGCCACGGTTCCAGCCTTTTCTGCGCCCGCCCTCTTCCTCCCTTCTTCTTTTCCTCTTCTGATTCGGTCTTGCCAGCCGTTTTCCCACGGTCCGCGGGGCCTCGCCCAGGGGGGCCTGGAGGGCCATTCCGCGTGGAAAAACCAAACAAAAAAACCGTGCCGTTTTCCTTCCGCGCCCCAAAACGGCACGGTTATTTTCCCGCGACTTGTGCCCGCCAAAGCTCGGGCTGCGGGTCGTTCAATTGTTTGCCCACTCTGATGGTGCTCCTCCTCTCTCTCCTCCTGGTGTTGCGTCTGTGTGGTGCTGTGGTGTGTCTGTGTCGCTCGCTCGCCAAGCTTACGAGCCCGCGGATGACTACGGTAGGCTCTGTTGCGCATTTGTTCCGCCTTGCGCAAGTGTCCCGAAGTAGAACTACGCACTACGTGATACTCTTGCTGGCGTTACCTAGCGCCGCGATTCGCGCGACCCCACGTTGCGCAATGGACTCGAACCATTTTGGTTCAGGCTGCAGCAACCCAGAAACTCGAACAAGTTCGGTATACCCCCAAAAAGATCTCAACAATTTCGGCGCGTGTGTTTCACATTTACGATTTCGCATCCGCCCACTGCCAATTGCCCCGCTCGCGCGCGGCAATTTCATGCGCGGCAATTTCATGCGCGGTCGTTGCCCACGCGATATCGCGTGGGCAACGACCTCAGATTGAGATATCCGTCCATATGTGGACGGATGTCGCAACGGAACATATATGTTCCGTTGACTGTCGCCCGTTCGCGAAGTGCTGTTTTGGGCGTATATTTCAAATTTAAGCCCAACACAAGATAAGCCCAAAACGTGGGGCTCAAAAATCTAAGCCCAAAGACCCTCAGGGAACCCCTCAAAAATCGCGGCAGGTGGCTCACTCTGCTCAGTCTGATGATGGAGTAGGTGTTGATATCCTTCTTCATCGTCGTATGCCGGCTGGGCGTACGAGCAGAAGAAGGTGCGCCCCCACGAGACTGATGGGCGGAAGGTCAGATGTCGTCCTTCATGGTGCCTGGGGCGCACGCCGACTTCCTTGGTGGCTGCCCCAGCGGCCCCCAGTCGTGAGCGTTCTGGCCGTACGCTGGGTCGGCTGGCGATGTGGGGCTGAGGGCCGCTGGCTGCTGGCGATCGGGCGTTGTTGGTCCTGGGGGCGCATCTGCTGCAACCTGGGTCTCTGGTTGGGTCTGCGATGCTAGCTGAGTCGGAGCGGAAAGGAATCCCGGCGCGTGGGCTTCCGGGAGGAAGGGCGCCGTGGGTGAGCACCCCGCTGCCGTGGCAAAGGCTGGGCTGCGTACCAGCGTAGGTTCCGACGGTGAGCCCAGCTGGCTGGGGACTGTGATCTCCGTGGGAGATGGTAGCGCTGGTGGCTGCCCTTGGGCTGCCTGCCCTGGTGGCAAGATGGGACTCGGCACTGCTGTTGGCACGGGCTGCTCGGTAGGCGAGCTGTGGTGCGGGGGGGCTCTGGGCGGAGAGGTAGGGCATGGTCTTCTGGCTGCCTCCGCCTGCTCCTGGAGCTCGCGCTGCCTCTGGAAAAATGCGGCCGTGGCGGCCTGCACAACTCGGTCCAACCCCTGCAGCTGTGGGCTTAGGGCTGATTGCGAGTCTGCATGCGGGGTCGGTGCGATCGCCTGGGTCGGGGACGACTGCACAGTGATCGCCCCCTGGCTCGGTCCCGTCCGCCTTGCTGCCTCCAATTGGGCATGCAGCTCCCTGATCTTCACTGGGTCCGTGCAGATCCCCATCTCTGGCAGGTATCTCATGTACTCGTCCAGCGTGGCCATCGCTGGGGCCATGTTGTGTGGCGTCGCATGGTCCATCCCGGCGGCCTCTGCTGCCGCTGTGGCGTGCGTCAGCTCGCGCTGGGCTTGGCGGGGGCCTGGCCATCCAGGGAGTAGGGCTGGCGGCTGCCCCGGTCCCTGGGCTGGGGGCTGGCCCCCGGCTGGAGCCTGGGCCCTCGCCGCCTCGGGTGCGGGCGTCGCGGCCGCGGCCGACCTGGCTGCCGCTGGTACCGCCTGCTGCTGCCGGTGCGCAGCTTGGGCCGCCTGCTGCCGCTGTGCTGCCATCGCTGCCTGCTGTGGAGCGGCTGGTGGCTGCTGGGCTGCCTGTTGCGGGGCAGCTGCAAGCGGGGCTGCTGGCGGCTGGGCTGCGGCTGGCGCCATCTGTAGTGGCGCTGCTGGTGGGGCCTTGGTGTCTGTAGCCGGTGGCGCCGGTGGCGCCGCTGCCGCGATCGGGGACGGCGCTGCAAGGCCCGTCGCTGCAGGCGCGGCCCCCGTCTGGTCTACTGCCATGGGGGCTACCGCCCCCTCTGGGGTAAACCCCGCGGCACTGCCGTCCTTGCCTTTCCCTTTCGCCGCCATGTAGGCTTGGCCTGTCGCCGACTTGGACCTCACCGGCGAGCCCTGCTGCGCCTGCTGGGTTTGCTGGGGCTGGCTGAACACTTGCTGGGGGGGAAAGGTGCCAGGCGCCATGGTCTGCATATGCTGGATCAGATGTGCTGGGGGGCGGTGGAGGGACCGCGCCCGCAACGGGCGGGGGCACTCCAGGGACGCCCTGGATGCAAGCCCCCGCGGCTGGCTGGACAAGTCCCAACAGCTGGCTGATCATGCTTTGATGCGCGGCAAGCTGTGCCTGCATCTGTGCCATTTGGGTGCCAGGCGCTGCTGGGGGTGGCGGTGGTGCCACGTTGTGCGAGGTTGGGCCGTCCGCTGTCAGGTGGTCCTGGGCAGCGTCGTCGGGCTCGTCGTCCTCCGTGTCTGGGGCATCCTCGAGTTCGGCTAGGCAGACGTCGGACTTGGCGATCTCCGCCTCTACCTGTTTTTCTTGCTGTTTGAACTCTTTGATGCTTTCCCGAATATTGCCAAGTGTCTCCTTGTAAGTGGCCTTCTTGTCCTTGAGGGCCTGGATATGGTCCTTGCGCTTCTCGGTGAGTCCCATCAGGAACTTGAGCGCTGCAACTTCGGTTAGCTCCTCGTCGCAGGGCTTGTTTGCCCGCCTGGCCGCACAAATGAGGTTGGCTACGTCGTAAGTGCGGCTCTTGATCTCGTCTTTGTACTGGCGTTGCGCCGCTGGGTCGGTCGGAGGCTTGCCGTAGACCTCGTAAACCTTGTGCGCTTCTGCCTCGCTCTTGGGGAGAGGTAGCGTCTTGGTTATGAGCTTCTTCGCCAAGGGGTCGGGCTGGGAAGCCCGCCTCGGAATGGCAGAACTTGCTGCTTGCTGCTGTGGTGGTCGCCCTCGCGATGCGGGGCGTCGCCTTCTCTGGTTGTAGTGCCCGTTGCAACTTCGGCACGTCCAGTGCCGCTCTGATACATGGCGCCCACACGCACACTGCCAGGTACCAGCCATGTCTTCTGCACAGTCGGTCTGGCGCCGTGGTTGCTGGGCGCTGTGGTGACGTAGGAGCAACTCTCGAGCGCTTACCGCCCTTACGAGCAGTCGCGCTTGTCCGCGGGCTCTCCTTTCACGTCTGTGCTTGGCGGGCTCTCGTGAACGAAAACGCCGCCAATGCCGCCGCTTGAATGGCGGCGTGACCGCGGCGAGGCCGCGGTGGCCGCGGCTGGGCCGCGGGTGCGCTGCGCCGCCTGCAGGCAGCGCTGCCGCGGGGATCCACGGGCTATGGCGCGCGCGGGCCGGGGGCCACGCGTGAGGCCACGGCGGGTAGGGCTGCCCCCCAATCCCTAGGGGCGGCCCTCAGCCGATACGCCTTCTCCTCCTCCTCCTCCTCCTCCTCCTCCTCCTCCTCCTCCTCCTCCTCCTCCTCCTCCTCCTCCTCCTCCTACCCCTCCTCCCCCTCCTCCTCCTTCCCCTCCTACCCCTCTTCCCCCTCCTCCTCCTCCCCCTCCTCCTCCCCCTCCCCAGGCCGTGCTGGCGCTCGCCGTGCCCCCAAGCCAGCCGCGAGGGCCTCGGCCCAGCGGCGGCGCGCCGGGGAGCTGGGCACGTGCAGGGCGGCGCGCTCCCAGGCCTCGTTTTTCCAAGACATTCTCAGCTTGCCCCAGGCACTTCTTTCCTCCACTCGCTCTCCCTCCTCCTCCTCCTCCTCCTCCACCTCCTCCTCCTCCTCCTCCTCCTCCTCCTCTCTCCTCCTCCTCCTCCTCCTCCTCCTCCTCCTCCTCCTCCTCCTCCTCCTCCTCCTCCTCCTCCTCCTTGAGGGGCGCAAAGCATGGCCCGAGGCATGTGTGCAGCCCAACCAAGGGGGCCCGAGGGCGCAGCGAAGCAAGAGCCATGAAATTTGGGGAGATCTCGTCCCGCCATCAGTAGAGGCCATCTAGATGGGGTCCGAGTAGATGGGGTCGAAGGATCGCGCCGCATCGGCGACGCCGGTGTGGGGAAACACGGGCTCCACATCGAGCCGCATCGTCGATGCATCGGCGATGCGGCGCGATCCACCAACCCCATCTACTCGGACCCCATCTAGGAGGCCTAGAATCAGGGTGGACAGCATGGCTCATGAGATCCGCCAGCCTAAATAGCCCCCCCTCTTTCAGATATTGAGTCACGAGAGCGGTTAGGCATCCCCATGACACCCGACAGCCCGCAAAACTGACAGAATATATCTCGCTCACATGGCGCTACTGTGCGCTCTAGTGGTCGTTAGTGGCTCTATTTGAGCGCTATTTGGAGGCTGATTCGGCACATCCGGGCGCTATCTGACGCTATTAAGCACAATTGGGCGCCATGCAATCAATCCAGGACGAGCGGAACCTTCCGCGATTTAATATCTAATCCTCTTGGCCGCTCCCGACCTTCTTTCAGGGCCGACGACGACCACCGCCACAAGGACTCGAATACACGCAAAAGTGACCATTGGAAAGGGTGACACCTCTGGTGCGCGGATCAAAGGTGGCCAAATCCAAGCGTGCAAGCAGCCGCTATCGCATCGCGCTCAGCGATCGGCGGGACCCCGATGAGCCCTCGGGGATCTACCGACCCAGGTTAATCCAGACCTGGGCCAGTCTCCTGCAGGATCCTGCACCGAATCCGAGTCAGTGCACCCCTGGCTCTGCAGGATCCTGCGAGATCCTGCGCTCCGACTGACCCCAGGTTGCATTGACCCCCCGCCTCTCGAGCCCCGACGAGCCCGCACTGAGGGCCACTCCGGCGAAGGTCCACTCTTACGCGCAGTCGGCTCGACGCCACGCGGGCTGGAACGGGTCCTGCCGGCACCAGAGCCCTGGACGCCTGCTCGTCCCGGAGCCTGGGCATCCCCTGAGCATTTTCTTAGGGTGGAGGGCTCAGGGTGAAATCCATATGGGCTCTTGCACCTCGAGAATCAATCCGTCTTGTCCTTCACCTCTTGCAGGTTCGAGCCTCGAACATCCGTCGAAGCGGCATTTCAGATCTCACCCTTTGCCCTCCACCCAGAGAAAATGCTCGGATTCCCTCGGCTGCGTGCAGGATGTGGCCCGAGGCCCCAGGCAAGGGTGGTCTCTGGCGCGCGGCCGCAGCAGGGCCCGTGGGGGACGCCTCCAGGCGCGCCGGCCGCTGCCATCGCACCGCCCTCGGGAATCGGGGGCCCAAGCGGGCCCGCACCACAGGTCACTCCGACGTGTAGCCGATGCGCCGACGGAAAGGAGCGCCAGAGCCCATGTCCACCAGGATGAAGGGGCCCCAGAACACACAAATAAATACACACAAATAAAATGATTCCCCATATTTTCCTATATTTTCTGGGGTTTTGTCTTCCCTCCCACTTCCCATATTTTCCCATATTTTCTGGGGGATCGACGATTCATTGTGTCTGTGTTTTTCCCTCTCCTGACAGAACCTGGTCCATGGGTCATCTAACTTCGCGAGCCGCGCCCAACGATGCGCAGCGCGCGATGATCTCCTCGCCCTCGCGCCCTCGCGCCGCGCTCATGCCCTGGCTCAGGTCGCGACGCACGAGGCACGAGTATCCGCGCGCCCGCGCGGGTGACGTGGGTTCTCTCCACGGTGGCCAAAGGGTAGAGGCCTCCTGGGATGGGGCAAGAGCAGACGGAGTCGAAGGATCGCGCCGCATCGCCGATTCATCGGCGGTGCATCGGCGCCAAATCGGCGACGACGTCGATGGATCGGCGACGCATGGGGCCCCACATGAGCGCGTTTCTTTATGTTCGGCGATGACGGGCGTCATGGGGGGGGGGGGCGAGGGGGGCTATGACGTAACGCCCCCCCCCCGCCGTGTGGCTCTGGCAACGCAGCCGCGCCCGCACGCGCGACGAGCGACGAGCGACGAGCGACGACGACGACGACGACGACCACGACGACGACGATGACGACGACGACGTCGACGTCGACGACGCGAGCAGCATGTAGGTAGCGATATGCCCCACTGCGCCTGTGTACACCACAACGCTCGCGTGCACCACACCGCGAGTGTATACCACAGCGCCTGCGTACACCGCAACAACCGTGTGCACCGCAGCGCCTGTGTACACCACAATGCTTGCGTACACTACAGCGCCGGCGTACAATTCCAGACCGCAGCTACCATGTGCAACACAGCGCCTGAGTACACCACAATGCGTGCATGCACCGCAGCGCTTGTGCACGCCACAGCGCGTGCCTACACCACAGCATCCGCGTGCAACGCAGCGCTGGTGTACACCACAACGCCTGCGTGCATATGACACGTAGAAGGAGCATGTACGTGAGGATCTGATGCAGACAACTAGACGCCACGCCAGGAAATTGCTGATAATCGAATGCGACGTTCTTCCCTTCTCCCTCCTCCTCCTCCTCCTCCACCTCCACCTCCTCCACCTCCTCCTCCTCTTCCTCCTCTTCCTTACCCCCTGTCGTGCGGGTTGGCGCTGCAGCGCACGTGCGCATCTCAGCGCGCACCGCTGAATGGTCTATTGAATTGGTCCATGTGGTTCTTGGACGGCCAATTTAGCTGGAACCTCCTGGACACAAAGGGAGGAGTTACGGTGATGCGGGCGGACTCGGGAGGGCACGTCGATTCCAGCGGCGCTCCGTTGTCCATCAGGATTATTTTATATAGTTCCTGCATTTTGTCATAAGGATTCGTTCTCACATTCTATATACAACAATGGTGCTGTGTTGCACACGGTTGCTGTGGTGCACACAGGCGACGTGGATTACAAAGGCACTGCAACGCACGCAAGCATTGTGGTGTATACTGGTGCTGTGTCGCACACGGCTGATGTGGTGAACGCAAGCGCTGTGGTGTGCACAAGAGCTGTTGTGCCCGCAGGCACGGTGGCACAAACTGACGCTGTATTGCACGCGGCTGCTGTGGTGTACATAGGCGGTGGTGTACACAGGCGCTGTGTGGTGCACGCAGGCACTGTGGTGCACACAAGCATTGTGGTGCAAATCGCCACCTACATGCTGGCGCTACCCGTGCTCCGTAATTCCTGGGCATTCCCAAACGCCGCCAGCGCGAAACGTCACGTCATCGATTCCCTCCATCCCCCCCCCTAGGATGATTGTCGTCATCGGCCCAGAATGAAAAAAAGGCTGCAGCCGCGTCCGCTCGCACGACGACTTTGAGCGACGAGCGACAAGCCACGAGCGACGACGACGACGACGACGACGACGACGACGACGACGAAGACGACGACTGCGGACCAGACTCCTATGCGGATTTCTACGCGGACACTAACGCGGATCCCAATGCGCACAGCGGCAGTGCTCGGAGCGCACTGGGGGCAGTGCCCGGAGCGCACCGGAGGGGGGAGCGTTACGTTATAAGGGGGGGGCCAGGGGCCATGACGCCAGTCATGCCCCAAGCAGTAAAGAAACGGGCTCCATCGAGCTGCATCGCCGACACTTCACGATCCTCCAACCCTATCTGTTCGGACCCCACCTGAGCGGCCAACAATAAAGGGTCTTACAAGAGACGGCATAGCGAACTTACGCGGCGGCCTACGCGGGCCGCCAGCGCGCCACGGCCCATTGGAAGGAAACGAGTGCGCTTACGCGCGAACTTACAAGGGCAGCTTGCGCACCAATATCGATGGAGACGGTCCCGTTTTCTTACGTCGTTCACCATGGATCGTCCCTGTGTCCTCGCCTCCGCGCGCTCTGCTGCGGCGACGAATTTTCTGCATCTCCCGCTTATGTGCAGCTGTCCCAGATACCCGAAGACAGAGTTTCTTCGCCACGTCGACCCCCGGAGGTCTGGGGCCCTTCCCCGGGGCCGGATTCCCGTCGCGCGTCGTTGCTTGACGGCACAGAAGCCCAGTAAGGGCCCCCGCAGACCGACAAAAAGGAGGAGGAGGAGGGGGAGGATGAGGATGAGGAGGAGGAGGAGGAGGAGAGCGAGGAAGCCGAGGAGGAGCTAAAAACCTCCCGTCGTGATTGCTTCACGCCGCGAGCGGGCCTCGGCACCCCCCCCCTGGTGGCCAAGGGGCCTCCCGCAGAAACCGCGCGGGCGAGGCCGCGGGCTCCAGCAGCCAGGCCAGCTGCCCCTCGCCGGCCGCGCCCTCCGCGCCCCGCTCCTGCGCCGGGGGCGGCCGGGGTCTGCCGCGGGGGAAGTCTTCGCCTTGCACGCGCGCGCCCGCGACGGCGGGCCAGGCGCGGCCAGCCGAGGTTTTTGCGCGTTCCCTTTTCGGTCTGGGTCGGGGGCTGCGGCTCGCAGGCCGCAGGGAAAGACGCTGGAGGGCGTGGAGATGCGCCCGCCATTGGCGGGGGGGGGCAACACCGACCGGCACAACCACTGGCATTTTAGAGGCCTCGCAGCTGGAGGTCGGGTGCAGTCGACCCGTATAATGATGACGCACGATCCGGATGCGAGGGCCTCGGACAACCATGTGGACACTTTGCGAACGGGGCGCGGCCAGCGAAAGCGGCCAAGGATGGGCCGAAGGGGGAAGATGCAAGGGTCACCTCGAAACGTCGCTCATCTTTACCATGCGGGGTGGCTGTAGAAGGCGTCGAGAAAACCGCGCCGCATCGCCGGTGCATCGCCGAAGCATCGCCCATGGATCTGCGATGCGTCGGCGACGTCGCCGATGGATCGGCGACGCCAGCGTGGAGAAAATCTGGCTCCGCATCGGGCCGCATCGCCAATGCATGGGCGATGCGGAGCGATCCTCCGACCCCACGCTCTCGGACCCCACTTGGGAAGCCTAGGCGCGGGGAGCGCGGGGATCCGCCCGCCCGTGGCGGGGGCAACGAAGGTCGGCACAAACCCCCACCACCGCCTGGGATCCAAGGAGACTCCTCCAGGTGGCGCGGTCCCCCCCGCACTGCGGCGCCCCGTTCGAAACAACTCCAAGCCTCCGTCGATGATCCTCGGGACGCGTGCCAGCGCCGTCGGGTGCTTGACCACCGAAGCCCATCGATACGACGCAGGCGCCGCATAGATGCTGCGCTCTACAATCAAGACGCTGGAATAAGGAACACATTGGCTTCGGAAGGGGCTCGATGTTCCTTAGGTTCCCCCCGCGCTGTTCCTCTTGCCCTCCTGGGGCACGGAGGCGCTTACAGGGCCAAAAAGGGGCTTCGTTCCTCATTTTAGCGTTCCTTCTTTCAGCAGCCCGACTGTATCGGTGGAGCTGAATCGATCCGTGGAGCTGAGGGCCGCACACGCACTCACTTTTACGTCGCAGCGCCGCAGAGGCGGTCCGGCCCGCACGCGCGTCCAGGCAACTCGGGCTACGGTGATGCGAGTTGGACCGCACGCAAGAGGAAAACAGCCGAGGGGCGGCCGCGGAGACGGTAGGCGGGAGAGGAGGGCGCGCTCACGCGGCGAGGTCGCGAGGGGACGCGCGGGGCGGCCAAGCCATAGGACAGCCCCTGGCAGCGAGCACGCACGCACGCTCACGCACATGGGGCCAGCAGACGTCCTGAAGCCGCTTCTCCGGCCACGGCTAGCCTCGTCCACGAAGAGGTCCCCAATATTTTGATTTAAGGAGTCTGGTGCGAATTTGGGGCGCACGTGGGAACGCGGCGCCCTAATCCCATATTGGTTCACGTTCGGCGTCGCCGTCTGCCTTCTGCTGCGCAGCGTACGTGGAAGCATAGTTACGCGCTGGAATGCCCCAGGGGAGGCCCAGTCGAAAAGATACGACGTTTGGGCTCTGACTGCGATGCCCACTGAGGACGGGAAAAAGACAGACGAGGAGGGTGGATTCTGGAGGGAGCAAGGAGGGGGAGGAGGGGGGGGAAGTGTGTGGACCGACGGCAATTCAAGCAGAACCCGTACTACGATCAAAGACAATCGCAGTACAAAGTCAGACACTGAACACACCGCCCGCATTGCAAGTTGCGTTTGCAGAATATCGCTCGCGCTACTGATTGGGGGCGATCCAGCAAGTCCCCGGACCTTCCCATGGGGCCGTCGGTTTCAAGCCCCGACGTCTCGCGCGCTCGAGTGGACACTCCATCTTCGACATCTGTGCGACTTGCGCCCCCCCTCCTGCAACCATCCACCTCCACCCTCTCAGAGGCGTCCGTCCCTCCTCCGGAGGCCATGTACTATCCCTTCTTCCTCTTCTAAGACGAAGACAGGACGAGGATCAACTCTTGTTCGAACGAGGATGAATTCGCAGGAAAATGCATGATAGAGAATCTCCCAGCTCAAGCAGCTTTGGAGGATGGGCTCCCGGGGGCCGCGGCCTTCTCGCCGCGGTTCTGGAACGCTCTGAGAGCGTTCGGGAACGCTCTGGAATGGGTTTATCTTCATCCTAGCCCCGTCCTATCTTCCCTCTACATTCATCGTTCCCCTCCCTCTTCCTGCGACACTGCCCAAGCTGCCGCTCTGGGTCAACTTTTCGGGTCGACCCCCTCAGCCCCCTGGCAATCGCTCGGACGTCCATTCCCTGTGTTTTTTTCGGCTTCGTGCGTGGCTTGTTCGCCAAATGATCAAGGATGCTCCTCGATGGTCCTCGCCGAGGGAAACATGCACACGTCCGAGCGATGCCAAGGCCACCGCCCGTCTCGTGCAGTGACTGATGGCGCTGCGCCAGGTCAGCGTCGCGCACCGCACCTCCGCTCCAGGTGGTGTGGGGGGCGCCTCGGAGGTCTCTCCGAGCTGCGGCGCGAGCTCAACGTGACGAAGCGGGAGACTGCAGAGCTTCGCATGCTGCTCGCGTCCGCTGGGCACTTGAACTTCTGGGCAGCTGTGTCACGGTCTCCGTGGCTACTGCTGCTGCTGGAGTTGCTGGTGCTGCTGGAGTATCTGGCTGCCCTCGTGCAGCTCGCGAGAGCCGAGGCCCAAGTGGTGGGCCCCACTTTCAGGGCGGTGAGGGCAAGGGCAAGGCCATCGGGAACGGCAAGGGCAAGGCCAAGGTGGTCTGTGGTGCGGCCTCTGGCAATATCCCCGCTGGTTCTCTTGTTGCTGATGCTGCACCAGCTCGTCGTAGCTCGGGAACTGCTCATGCCTCTTCCGCGCCTCGAGAAGATCCTCGAGGAGGGGAGAGGATACGGAGAAGGAGATGGCGACAAGAGCCAAGATGGAGGCCAGCCTCAGGAGCACTTTCAACGCACACAGCTGGAAGAGGGAGTCTTGACGCCGTCAGCACTCGATGGTCGATCTGCTCGACGATTGGGAAAAAAACTGCTGAGGTGGTAGCCGGCGCTCGCGCACCGTTTTGAAAGCACCGTCGCCCTCGGACACGTCGCTGCGCCGCCCCCGCTTGCCGGGCAAGCCACGGCAACAAAAAAGGCGTCCTTTCTTGAGCAGGGACCGACCGTCCCGGCATTCCTATAGTCCTACCACGAAATGTTCTTAGAACCCCAAAATGTTCTAAGAATAACAACAATGTTCTTGGAACATAAGCCCGATGTGTCAAAACGAGCCAGACTTCGCCAGACACGTTCTAAGAACATCTCGTGGAAACCACGACAGGTTCTTAGAACATTGCTTGTTGGGGCTATAGGCGAGCCAGGACGCGTCGCCACTGCTTGACGCTCTCCTCCCCTCCTCCGCCGAGCCGTCCGGGCTGGGCGCGGGCCGCGGGCGTGCGAGTTGAGGAGCCGCGGGGATGGCGTTTTTCCTCCTGGGAGGTTGGGCTTTCATTGTGGATGCCACGACAATGGACACTCAAACAATCCTAGAATTGAATTCCAGCTGTGTTTAAAATGTGTACAACATGTTCCAAACATGTTTCAAGCATGCGTTTAACATAGTTAAAGCATAGTTGAAACAACTTTCATATTTCATACATCTGGAAATTATTTGGCAGCATGCTTCCTCTCCATTAATCGACTTCCACAAGGCTTTCAGGCCTGTTGGCTGCTGTGCGGTGCAGGGTCTGCCTTCGAACCATCGTAGCTGGAGGGTTCAGCCTTCGAACCATCGAAGCGACACGTCTTATTTCCCTACGGCCCTCCCCTCTTCCCCTCCTCCAGCCAACCTCCCTCCTCTTCCAACTAACCCGATTGGATAACGATGGTTGTGCAGCACATGCCTTATCCCACCGGCAAGACTGGCACTACGGAGCCCAAGTTTCGGTAATACGTCGCTGTCTCGGGGGCGGGGTCTACGTGTTTCACTGACCTGGACTAGAGGCGATTATGAGAGCGAATCGCCACATGCCGATCCCCTCACCTCCCACGGAAGGTGGAAACAAGAGGAGGCGTGTTGATGCGACACGGGTTATTGCAAGGACGCGTCCTCCTGGGGTGCGGAGGAGGATGAGGGAGGAGGGGGGCGGATGAAGAAGGAGGCAGGAGGGGGGTTGAGGAGGCGACAGGAGGCGAACACGAAGGTGGAGGCCCAGGTCCCTCCATCGGCTACATGCAACGAGTGCACCTGGACAACGAGTGACCTGTGCTGCGCGGCTTCGGGTGGCCGCGAAGGGCAACAAATTCACGCGCGCGGGCCAGTGCTGGAGCCACCCCTGTGGGCCCGCACCAAGGCTCACCACAGCAAAAGGACACTCTTAGTTACGCGTGGCCGACTCTTGGGCGTCGCGAAAATGGGAGGGGGGGGCGCTACATGGGGGGCAGCGAGGGATGCAGAAAAGAGGCCATGGAGGGCCCCCAAAGAAGCTCCTCAGGGCCCAAAGCAGGAGCCTTCCGGGCCCGAAAAATGCACCCTTCTCCCCCCCCAGTGATCCCCCCCCTCCCCAGGCAGCGAGGAGGAGGAGGAGGAGGAGGAGGAGGAGGAGGAGAAGGAGGAGGAGGGAGGGGGAGGGGGGAGGAGAGAGGGAGAGGAGGAGGAGGAGGAGGAGGAGGAGAGGAGAGGAGGAGGAGGTGAGGGGAGGAGGAGGAGGAGGAGAGGAGGGAGAGGAAAGGAGAGAGGAGGAGGAGGAGGAGGAGGAGAGGAGGAGGAGAGGAAGAGGAGAGGAGGAGGAAGAGGAAGAGCAGGCGGAGGAGGACCAAAGCTCCACCGTTTCGGAAGCCCCGGCTCCTGGCCGCCCGGCGCCGGGCCGCAGCGCGGGCGCTTCTCGGGCCGCCCGGCGGGGCTGCTCGGGAGGCACATCGGAGGAGGGGGGCTCGGGGGGGGGGGGAGGGGGGCCGGCAGACGGGGGGCAGCCGACCAATGGAACCGCAGCCCCTGAGCCGAGGAATGCTGCGGGGCAGCAGAGGAGCCCGGGAGCGCGGGTCCGAGTGTCAAGAAAGGCCGAGTCCAGGCGGGACAGATCCCAGACGGATGCTGAGCACTCCGTGCGGACCTCGCATCCTATCAGGAGAGGCCGAGTCCAGACGGAGTGGGCCCAGACGTAGACAGGACTGACTCCGCAAGGCCTTGGCATCCTCCGAGTGATGCGTCTCCTGGAGGGCTACGACATGGCTCCCCCAGACATCCTGCGGCTCCCCCTCCTCAGGTCCTCCTCCTCTTCCGCGGGCCGACGGGGGAGAGGGGGAGGATAGACGTGGAGAGGGGGGGCAGCAACGGGAGGGGGAAGCAAGGAAGAAGGGGGCGGTAGAGGGGAGGGGGAAGCGAGAGAGAGAGAGAGAGGGAGAGAGAGATGGGGGAGAGATGGGGGAGAGGGAGAGAAGGGGAGGGGGGCGAGAGGAAGACAGGACGAGACGGGGGGGCTGCTGACGACGATGGCGGATGACGACGGGGAAAGCAGCTCGAGCACAGCCGCCGTCCAGTCCCCGCGCCTGCGCGGTCATGAAGAGCATCGGCAGGGACCACATGATCCAGAATCCGCGCAGCTCGCAGATGGTGGTGCCGATCGAGTAGTAGGTCACCTGGGCTGCGCCGAGCGTGGTGCTCAGGGGCTCCCCCTTATCAGGCTTGCTGCGTTCGCATGTCTCGTGTGTCTCCTGCCGCCACACGTGCGTATGGCTTCCATGGCGGCGCCCATGGAGACCCCACCCCCTTTACATGTTACATCCAGGCAGGATCCCCTCTTCCTCCTCTTCCTCCTCCTCCCCGTCTTACAGTCGGGCGCTTCTGTTTTCTGCTTCACAATCGTGTGGCGCTTTGTTTTCCGTGCCTCTTTCAATAATTTCCGAATGGCTGCCAATTGCGCGCTCTTCTGCCCGCGCGTCCTTCCGGATGCTTGGCTCTGTGGTGGTGCTTCCCTTCGCCCTCCTGCATCAGCCCTCGTCCCGCCTCGTCCCGCCTCCTCGTGCTTCCCTCACTCTCCAGCTTGCCGTCGCACGGACGTCCATTTCCCGTGCATTGTTCGGTTTCGCGCGTGGTGTTGTTGCTCGCTGGTCCAGGATGGTCCTCGATGGTCCTCGCCGAGAAAGCACACGTCCGAGCGATGCCAGGCCAGCCTCCTCCTGCCTTGTCCCTCCCTCCTGCCTGTGCATGCCTCCTCCCCGACCCTCCGTCCTCCTCCCCCTCTCCCGACTCTCTGCTCATCCTTCCTCCCTCTCTCTCCTCCCTCCTTTGACTGTCACAGCCCCCATCCTGCTGCCCGAAATGCTTGACGCCATGGCGCGCCTGGAGACCTTGCCAAATCCAGCCCGGATGAATCTGGCGATTGGAAACAAGCGCGAGCCAGACGAACTCCTACGCAACATGCCCGGCTATGAAGACTGTACTCGGTCCTTGTGCAGATCGGCCTACATTGCTGATCATACTGTAGACTCGAGGGACCCCTGGACGTCGAGTGGCGTATGACATCGACACAACACATGCTTGGCCTTCCGCCGCATGATAACCACCGCAATACGGCATACATGTGAACTGTCGGAGCTCGACGCTGATTTCTTGGATCTACGCTGAGCCCCCCGCCCTGTCGCGCGGAGCGCGCCAGGGGCGGCGCCAGAGGCGCCGCCAGGGGAGTCCAACGCAAATCCTAGAAATCCTCGCGGATCGCCGAACGTTTATACATGTCTGCCGTGCTTGCTTCTTTGAGCGGTGCCGTACCAAGCCCCCCGACATCGCGTTTGTTTCGCAACGTCGACCCCCCGATGTCTGGACCCTTCCCCGGGACCCGTTTTAGGTGGCCACATTTGAACCCTACCCCAACCCCGAACGATTTCAAGGGGGGGGTGGAAGGTTCACTCCGCTCGGGAGCTCCTGAAAGAAGTGACCCCCCCTTCGAATTCGGGGGGGGTGGGGGTCAGGGCTGACATGTGGCCACCCAGGTTCTTCATACCGAGCCCTTGTTTTTGACGGTACCCGGGCCCGGGAAGGGCCCCGTGAACGCTCTGTGAGGGGGCCCAGAAGCCCGATGGGCGCATGTCCTGGGACGCTCCAGGCGGCTCTCGGGGCGCCCCGCGGGACGCTTCCAGAAGCCTCGGGAGCTTGGCCGGGATTCCGTACAGGGCAGTTTTTTTCATACATGGGATGTTCAAACATATGGGATGTTTAATACATGATGAGTTCATGAATAAATGTATGCATGAACTTATCGTTGTTTGTAAGACTGAATCCCTGCATTTTGTCATACATGATCCGCACGCGGAGCATGTAGTAAAAACGGCACTGTACGGATGAGACCACGCCTCGGGCAATAGGGAGGTTGGGTGGGCCACCACAGCACGGGCAGTGGTGGCCCCGGGGGGCTGTGACACGGGCGCGCGCCGAGGAAGAGGACATTCTCCTCGCTGGGTAGTGACATCAGAGCCCTACCCCCGCCGACCATCGATTTCCCTGGATCGATGGAGGGCGGGGAGGACAGGGTTCGGGCTTCTCCGTGGGTTCGACGAATTCCGAACACTAACCCCGCCGCCCATCGAGTTGCCTGAATCGTTGGTCGGCGAGTGTAGGGTTTGATTTTCGCCGCCGAACGGAGCTGAAAGCAGCCCGACCGCAGGCCGTGGCTTCCGCGTCCACAGCATGATAGCGAGAATGAAAGCGGGTGCAGGCAGCAACGGCCGACACGGCAGGTAGGAGGCCGTGTCGAGGCGGGCAGTATGGCAGCATTAGTTTTCTCCTCCTCCTCACTCCTCCTCCTCCTCCTCCTCCCTCCTCCTCCTCCTCCTCCTCCTGACTCAGGGCCCCGTAGACCCGGACACGCTAGACCTGGACACCCAACATCCCTCGAAACCAGTTTTTCCATACGGCGGCACGAACAACATACTGTACTGCAGCATTTCCATAATAAACCCGGACACAGACCTCAAAAGCCTGCAAGAACCCCCTAACCCTGGACACAATCCCGAATCCTGCAGTGCAGCAAACAAAGCATGCACGGGTGCTGAAAAACGTAACTTTGCAGGAAAGGATGTCGTTTCCTTGGTTTTCCGTGTCCTGGTTTATCTGTGTCCTGGTCTCTGGGGGCCTGACTGACTCTCCCTCACCCGCCTCCGTCCCTCCCCATCCTGTACCCTGTCCCTTCCCATTGCAGAATGTTTGACTCACGGTGATAAGCGGCGTTGTGGGGGGGAGGGCCCCCCCCACCCTACTCGGGGGCGGCCAAGAGGGGGGCGTCAAAGAGGGGGGGGGCGCAAATCATGGCCAGCGGCATGCATGTGCGCGGCCCAGGGGGGGTGGCCAGGGACGTAATTAAACAAGAAGAGGCGCCATAAATCAGGGGAACTATCATGGCACCCGCCATGACATCCACCCCCCCCTAGTCATCACCCCCCTCTTTGCCGCCCCTGACCTATGATGACGGACGCACTTGCGGCAGTGCCAGGGACGCACTGGGGGGGGGAGCGTTATGCTATCCGGGGAGCATCACGAGCGTTATGGCCCAGAGGGTGAACAAAAAAAGCGTTCTCCCCTCTGATCTGGCGTTGCGAGTAAACTTCGACATCGCGAAAAATCATGACTGGAGCCCCGAACCATCTTTCTGCTCCACTTTTCGAGCCAGATCGATATGTGAGGTTCCTGGAGCCCGAAACTGGATAAAAGAACGGTTGATCTGGCAATCATCTTCTGCGACATCCATCGGAGCCTCCCATACCGCTTTGTTGGCTCCTGCGAATCGACGCACATCGAAGCTGAATCGGCGCAGATCTGTGCTGAATCGGCGTATTCTCATCGACTACTAAAAGCGAATCGACGCTATTGGCACTCTAACGGGTCCGGATCTGCTGGGCCGCGAGACACAGGCCGTGAGACATGGGGTGGCCTCCAGGGCCCGAAAGGTGCACCGTTCTCCCCCACCAATTATCGCCGCCCCCGTGAAGCGACGCCCCCCCACTAAGCGCGAATCGACGCTCGTGGCACTCGAAAGAGGTCCGGAGCTCACTACCTGCCAGACCACCCCAAGCTAACCCGAAGACCCAAATGTCGGGTTCAGGGGGGTACGGGTCCCACACGTGTTTTTGAAATCTGGGGAGATGTCATGGCTCAGACCATGCTATCACCCTCCCCACCAACCCTCACCCCCCTCCTGGCCATCGCTTGGACGTCCATTTCCTGTGTTTTCTTTTGTTTTTTCGTCAAATGGTGCGTGTTTTTTTCGCCAAATGATCAAGGATGCTCCTCGATGGTCCTCGCCGAAGGAAAATCGCACACGTCCGAGCGATGCCAAGTCTCTGGGACGCCCACGACCCGCGCCCGGCCTGTGGGTGGCCCCGTCTGCCTGCTGGTCCCCCCTGCTGCTGGCCCTGCGGTGCTTGGCCAGGGGGTTATCCCGCGCGCTGCCACCGCATACAGGAAGTGGCAGGATCCGTAGAGCATGCAGACGCGGGCATAGATGTCGTAGTTGTACCAGTCCTGCATGGGCGGGTCGCAAGTGGACCGATCAAGAGACATACGACAGGGCCCACGCCTTTGCGTCAACCGTTCCCCACGCTCCCCTGCTGAGAGTGGCCAGGAACGCTGGCAGCATTGACCCTCCATTCCACAGAACGGCGTCAGCAAACAAAACCCGCAACCACAGCCACATACTAATACTATCGCAGAGGCCGATGCCTTGGAGACTATCCCCAACACGGAGTGGGGCGCGAAATGCCCTGGCCGTCCACCTCGAGGCCACGGTGGAATGCAAACCCATGGCGCGCCGCCGTCGGCGTGGCCGTTGAGCTTTACGGCATCGCATGAATTGTCGCAACCAGGCGAACCATCGTCACTGCGACCATCAGCCATCAGCGTTACCAGAACCTGGTGGCGGGGACAAGTGGCGACGCTCGCGACGAAGAACAGGAAAAATGAGGATGATCAGGAGGATGGAGATAGACGGGTGGGGGGAAGGATGGAGGCGGCGACAAATGTCGCCCCTTCCTGATTGCAAACAAATGACGAACAAAGTTGAACAGAATTTGACGCCCAAGTTGGCTGTGTGAGGAAGGACCGAAATTGATTACCAAGAGTAGCTCGCGGGCGCCCGACACCGCCTGCGAACGTCCCAGAAAACTAGAACACCGCAATGGTTCTCGTGCGCACGACATTGGGCCGACCTTGGTGTGGCACTTCGCGCGCGCGACTTCGCAGCGCAGTTCGTATGCAGTGCCTTCAGGTCCCCAGGAGAACCCAAAATCGACTCGATGAGTCGAATCGGCGATCGAAATGAATCGGATCGGCGGAGAACGGCAGCCAAATTGAGAAAAAACGAATCGGCGTCGAATCGGCGGGAATCGAAGGTCACTAATGCCTCCGATGAACCCAGATTCCGAATTGGAATCCGAAGCCGAATGGGATCGGAATCGGAAGCCATCGAACTCAAACCAAGAACGAATCGGAAGAGTCGAAGTGAGCTCCGGTTCCCCGAAGGCCCTCTGCGCAGAAACTAGACACATGCTATGAACTAGAGCTGAACCTGAACGGTGATTTTCGTTTTCGCTTCGGTTTCGCTGTCCCTCGCTTTGTTGTCTCGAGTCCGCCCGTGCCGCAAAAAGCGAAGCCGAAACGAAAAAACGGCCCACGAGATCGCCAGGAGCACCGTGTAGGTCCAGCCCTGCCGTGGGCAAAGAGGGGCCCGCAATGCCGAGGCCCTGGCGCGGTCCGAGGCTGCCCCCGCGTGCTGGCGCACGCTGCCACGCGAGGGCCCCCCAGAGACAGGCCCCCCGGGAGGCCCCCAAAAGGCGGGGGCGCCGCGACCCGTCTCCGGTGGGCGGCGAGCCGGCTGGCCTTATGTCGGGCGTGTCCCCCTACACCCTACAGGGAGATCTTCGACGAAAAATTAAAAATACCCCAAACATGCCCCAAAAAAGTCAAAAAGTAATAAAAAATAATCCCCCGACTATTTTTGGACACTTTTTAAAAACTATTTTTGAATATTTTGTATTTTTCATCGACAATCCCCCTGTAGGGGGACAGGCCCGCCTTAAGGCTGGCCTGGGGCGGAGTGAGGGAGGGACAAGGAAAGGCGACACCAGCACCAACAGGGCGAGGAGATGCGAGGACAAAGGGAGGTCTCCCTGCTGGTGTGGTCCCCCCTCTCGCTCGAGACATCCCCAGCCTCCAGCTCGGGCCTACTTTTACGTTGTTCCCATCGTACTCAGGAGCCACATCCCAGAAAGATTTGCGAGCACCCGGAAAATTGTCGAAAGAGGGTCGAAACATGACGACCCACGCGAAGGCGCCCAAACGGCGCCGCCGCCCCACTTCGGCACAGCCCTCACACGTTCCGTGGCCCCACTGGGAGCTCTACCGACGGCCCTCGTGAGGGCGCTCGCATGACGCCACCGACCAACTACGGCACACCCCTGACACGTTT